CCTTTGATATTTCCAATTTTCTTGACTAGATCTCTAGGCTTTCCCTTTCTGTTGTTTTCCTCTGTTTTTTTTGTACTGTTTACTTAAGAAAGCTCTCTTATCTCTCCCTGCTATTTTTTGGAACTCTGCATTCAGATGGGTATATCTTTACCTTTCTCCCTCGCTTTTCACTTCTCTTCTTTTCTCAGCTATTTGTAAAGCCTCCTCAGACAACCATTTTGCCTTCTTGCATTTCTTTTTCTTTGGGATGATTTTGGCCACCATCTCCCGTACAGTGTTATGAACCTCCATCCATAGTTCTTCAGGCACTCTGTCTATCAGATCTAATCCCCTGAATCTATTTGTCATCTCTACTGTATAATCATAAGGGATTTGATTTAGGCCATACCTGAATGGCCCAGTGGTTTTTCCCTACTTTCTTCAATTTAAGTCTGAGTTTTGCAATAAGGAGCTCATGATCTGAGTCACAGTCAGCTCCAAGTCTTGTCTTTGTGCATTGTATAGAGCTTCTTCATCTTTGGCTGCAAATATAATAAATCTGACTTGGGTACTGACCATCTGGTGATGTCTATGTATACAAGATATCCTTGATGTCCTGTGCTGTTAGAAGAGGGTGTTTGGTATGACCAGCATGTTCTCTTAACAAAACTCTGTTAGCCTTTGCCCTGCTTCATTTTGTACTCCAAGGCCAAACCGGCCTGTTATTCTCTGTATCTCTTGACTTCACACTTTTGCATTCTAGTCCCCCGTGATGAAAAGGACATCTCTTTTTGGTGGTATCATATACATAGCCAATTAACTGCATTTAAGTTTATCTCCTCTAAATCCCTAAAATACTGTTTGATAAATTGATCCCAACTACTGTAACTATTCATGTTTCAAATTAAAAATTGACAAGCTTATTTTACTTGCACAAGTGTAGGTTGATTATTTCATTAATGTCACAAGGAGTAGGAGGGCAACACTCTTATTTGACATAGTCAACAGATCGTGACTCTGGAAATTACTCTGTTAGTTAAATTAGCCAGAGAAGCTCAAGACTGCTTAGCATGCACTAGTATGTCATCATGTATATCTACCAAACTCATAACAAGATGGAGAAAAACATGCCATATCACTTCCCTTTAATGGATACAAAAAATAACAGATACAAAAAGGTATCACAACAAGGTATCAAATTCACAAACTCTCATGGTCTAAGGAAGCTTAAAGTGATCACCTTGAACAGGATTTTCAATGCAGGGATGCTGTTTTGGCATTTAATCTAAAACATGCTGAGAATTCTCATACTGGTATTTTATAAGAGCATAAACTGAGACCCAAAAAGGTGAGAAGGCCTGTCTGTGGCCAAAGCATTGGCTCAAAACCCTTGTAACTCTTGTCTTCATACCCCCATCAAAGACTTCATACCCCCACCCCAAGACTTCAAAACTACTCTTTTATTTACCTCCAATATCCTTTTTGTTATCCTAAAACCAAAGAGAATTAAGTTACTGTTGTGATCATTCACATTAGATTTTAATTTTATGATGGCAAAATCCTTGTTTTATGTGATTTATAATCCTTGCAAATCCTAGAACAAGGCTTTCAATTTCAGTCAATGCATAGATATTAATTTTCTACTATATTCAAGACAACATGTTTTGTACTTCTATAGCTAACCAAGATTTAAATCAGATTTCATGCTATATGGCTTCCCAAGTGGCACAATGATAAAAAAATCTGCCTGCCAAAGCAGGAGACAAGAGTTCAGTCCCTGAGTTGGGAAGATTCCCTGGAGAAGTAAATGACAACCTGCTCCAGTGTTCTGGCCAGGGAAATCCCATGGACAGAGGAGACTGGTGGGCTATAGTCCGTGGGGTCACAAAGAGTCGGACATAACTGAGTGCATGCGTGCACACATACACACACACACACAAATGCACAGACACCCTACTATATGTTGCATTAAGCTATATGAATAGATAAACTGGACTAATAGATTAAATAGATTTAAGCATTCCCTCTAATCATGTCACTTAACAAACATATTTTGAGCACCAACAAAATAGGCACTATTTTGTGTACTGATGATAGAGCAGTGAATAAGATAGACATGGTCCATGCCTTCCTGGAGCTTTTAAATTAGTGGAGGAATAAGACATAAATAAACTGCAAATAATTTCAGACTGTAACATATACTGTGAATTACAGAAATGTATTTGATGTTATTATAAAGGATAAAGGGTTGTAGGAATATTGTGTACAGTTTTACACAACACAACCTTAGGAGGAACCATCGGTGTCAGAGCAGAGCAGATTTGTATATTTATTGCAAAAATTTCCCGGCAGATGGCAGTAAAATGTCTTTTTCTAGTAAACTGGTATATTAGATCATTTTCTCACAATGTAAGTAAGCAGTCTTAAGGAAGGAGTGCTTTTTGCCAGTTTGGTCAAAGACACCGTGTGGATGAGTCGAGGCCCTCCAAAGGGGAGGTGACTTTGAAAAGAAAGTCAGATAAGACCACTTTGATGAAGTGACATTTAAGTTGAGGATAAAGAAGAGCCAGGCATTTGGAGAATAAGAACACTCCAGGAAGGAGGAAAAACATGTGCTTGACATTATTCATTCTTATTTTGGGCTTGTTTGTTTTGACACTCCATACTTACAATTAAAAATTATGAAGCTCTTTGTAGGCAAGCACCATTTTCATTATCAGAGTCTGTGTTTTCCATGGTTTGTTTTTCCAATGGTGATGACCTTGCCTCCTTGCTCTCTCCTGCAAGCCCACATTTCCAGAGCTTTCGACTGAGATTGGGATCGTAATCTCTGGCCACATAACCTGGCTGACTGACCTCTTATGAACCTTGGGCAGAGAAAAATAGCTGTTGCAAAAAATTAAGTCCTTTTCATGACAATTACTACCATTTGTTGAGCATTGAACTAAAAACAAGGCAATATATTAAATTGGCACTATTAAGGAAAACTACCCAGTTATAAATCCATGTCTTCCATTTTCCTTCCTTCCACATACCAGCTATTTTGCCTTTTAACTATAAAATAGAGTTAAAATAACTATAACAATATTATTATGATAATAATAACTGCTGATATTTGTAGAGTGTTTATTAAATGCCAAGTACTATGCCAACAGCTTTACTAACTTTAGCTCATTTAATACCCAGGTGGCACTAGTGGTAAAAAAAAAAAAAAAAAAACCCACCTGCCAACGCAAGAGACATAAGAGATGCAGGTTTGATCCCTGAGTCGGGAAGATCCCCTGTAGGAAGGCATAGCAATCCACTCCATTATTCCTGCCTGGAGAATCCCATGAACAAAGGAGCTTGGCAGGCTATAGTCCATAGGATCGCAGAGTTGGACATGACTGAACCAACTTACACACACATGCTAAGGGCTTTATTAACTTTAGCTCATTTAAATCTTAAAACATAGACTAGATAATATTTTACCCAATTTACAGAAGAATCTGAGGCTTATCCTATCTCAGATTTGTTCAGTTGGAACTTTCCCCAAGTATCCTGACTCTAGAACTCATGCTGTTAATTCATGGTCTGTAGAGAGACTTTAATAAGGTTTGTTATTACGAAAGGTTTGTTATTCCCTGGTAGCTCAGACAGTAACGAATCTGCCTGCAATGCAGGAGACCCGGGTTCAATCCCTGGGTCAGAAAGATCCCCTGGAGAAGGGAACAGCTATCCACCACAGTCTTCTGGGGGGAGAATTCCATGGACAGAGGAGCCTGTAGCCATGGCTCCAGTCCAGGGGGTTGCAAAGAGTCAGACACGACTGAGTGACTTTCATTTTCATTACTGGAGGTGGAATAGCATAGTGTAAAGAGTACACATTCAGTAAGTGTACATTCCTACCTCCCTTGCGGCTCTAATAAATAACACTGAGAAAAAATATTCCAACTCACCAAGGTCTGCACATCAAACAGGTCAACCTAACTCAGCCATCATGGGACTTCCATTTTGCTGGATACATCACAGGTTTTCTGACCTCCCCTATTTCAGAAAGAAGTCATCACCTTCCCCAGTGTACTTCTTAGGCACCTTTCATTCTCCCAAAAATATGTGGTTTCAAGGAGAAGGAGATACAAAGCATGCTTAAAATTGTCTTCATTCATCCAGATCCTCTCTCCCAAGAGGCTCCTACTGGTGTCCCCTAGCTGACAGAAGCAAATGGCTAACAATACCAACTATCAAGAAAATACTTGTTATAAAAGAGGTGTTCCTCTCATATATTGCAGGAATCTTTTAAAATATTTAAAGTGTTGTGTGGCAGACTTTTGCAGAAACCAGCAATTCTGAAGTACAAAGAAAACCCACATCATGATACTAATTTGCTAAAAAGACAATCTAAAGCCAAGAGACTATTTAGACTTGTCATTTTATTAAACATCATAAACTGCCATGTTATAGGCACAGTGGAACGAATAAACCATTAATACAGCATCATGCAATAGCCAAGAGCAGAATAGGAACCAGCTTTGATCAAGAGCAGGTGTGAGCACAAAGCAGAAAGCAAATTGTTCAATCAATTAATGGGAACAGAGTTAAACACTTTTGTCTATCCGTAGGTTATAAATCATGCATCCCAGTGGGAAAGGCTTTAATAATTCCATAACAAAGCTCAGTGATTCTAAACACTCTGCAGTAAATCTTTTATCAGACTCAGCCTAGCATCTCTGATCCAAGAGTCAATTTTCACTTTCAGCCCAAATCAGTGCCCAGAAAAGAAGATTTCAGTGAAAAGGACTTGTGAGCAAACTTCCAAATACCAGATCTGGATAAATAACCACAAGTTCAGTGGCTTATGTGAACTGTTGAAACATGTAGAGCCAAGCTGGAAGATGTGAGGCGAGGCATTTGGGGTAGAACTAAGTAATTCAGAGAAGCCAGGGAAAATTAAGAGTCACTCAAGGAATCAGGCATCCAGATATTCTCAGTTTTAAAAATTAATACCTGCAGATGTGTATCCTTTTTTTTTTTTGCCCTAGACAAATGTGCCCTCCAGTCTTCAAAGATGGCTCCCTAAAGCTGAAAACTCCCTCCCCTATAGAAGCTAAAATCCACAACAAGCACTCTAAAAAGGCCCCAGTTCACACTTGGAAGTTTGGAAATTAAAAAATCACAAACCAAGCCACAACCTACTTAGATCACCTGAGAATAGTCTCCTCTTCTTCTCTGGACTTCGTGATTTCCACCCAGCCCTCCACTTCTACCATAACCTCAGTGGGCTTTCTGGATTCCTGACAAGAGAGCCAGCTTCCACACAAATCCTGGGACTAATCTTCACCCCCAATGAGGGACATAAAAGAATCGCTGAAATATGGCAATAATTCACTAGTTCAACCTCAAGGTTAGTCTCACTATCAGGTCTTTTTGTTCTCGATAATAAGGTTCCCAATAACCAAATTCTTGCCATGTTCCTCACTTACAGTGATTAAATTGGTGCCTTGGACTCTTGAATGCCAGTGACTGGATTTTGTCCCTGAACCTTAATTTCCCCAGTATGTGTTCTGAATCTCTACACATGCCACAGCTTATTGGCTTTATCTATTTATTACTCTGTATTATCTTGACCTGCCTTGATTTTCCCTTCTCACACCAACAAATCTCTCAGCTTTAGAGTTAAATCCCTGTTCTTTGTTTCCTTCCAAATATGTATCGTCTATTTAGGTAAGAAAGAGAAAATAAGTCTCTGACCTTAAGAGTAGCTGTAGGATCCACATCAAAATTCTCAATTTGAATAAAATCTAGATTCAGTCCTTGGATCTTCCCGATCTCTGGGTCCTATTCTACCCCACAAAACCGAAGGAGCCTAAGGCTAAGACCCTAAAAGAACACTAAATATATTACTTAAAGGTGATAAGCCCATGGTCTTCACTGATAGCCACTCCCTATGATTCCATATTGCTAACTGATTTGTCTAGATCTGATTTCCTTTTTTGTCTATTTTGCATAATCAGATTGGACAATGTCATAATTAGTTTATATACAAGTTAATGTCTGCATTAAAGAAAAGTGTTTGGTAATTTTGCGAATAGATATATAAACTCAATCCCTAACAAGGATAGTTCTTTATTTCAACAAGAATACTTAGCCTTAGATTGTGTTCTGCTGTGTCCTTTGTTAAATGAGGTTTTCCACACAGGTATCTGAAAGGTAAAGACTCAGTCATCCAGCCTGTACCATCTAGCTCATTTTTTATTAACGACATGTTAATTTACAATTAAAATAAGAATTCTATTCCTACAGTATTGAAGTATTAACATAACCTGTTTTTTTTAAATTTCTCTTTCTTGCTGAGAACTTGCTTATCAGTGTTTCTCAAACTTTATTGTGTTTTAGTCTCTGAGTTGTGTCCAAGTCTTTGCGACTCCATGGCGTACAGCCCTGCCAGGCTCCTCTGTCCATGGGAATTCCCAGGCAAGAATACTGGAGTGGGTTGCCATTCCCTTCTCCAGGGGATCTTCCCGACCCAGGGACTGAACCCATATCTCCTGCATTGGCAGGTTGATTCTGTATCCACCTGAGCCACCAGTAAAAAGCTTATGTTTTCCTAAGGAAACTCTCAAACCAAAATTGACCCAATTAGTCACCCTTCCTCTTTTTTTTTCTTTCCGTCCTCTCTCCACACCCACTCACCCACACCCACACACACACATACACACAAACATATTTATTAAATCCCATCCACTGTTTTAAACAGAAAATAAAGTTGAAAAACAGCAATAACAACAACAAAAACACCAAGAAATTCTTCTATGTTTCTGTACTTTTGGCAGTGATGGATGAGACATCCAAAACTGCAGACCTCAACCCTGAGAACAAACACTGTGAAGATCAAACCACAAAAATAACAACACAGTTTAATGAGAATCAAATATTATTCATCAGATCATTAATAGTTACCTTTGAGAATTACAGATTTTACCAATTAGCAACTTCTGGACAAACACATTATTTATTCATAGAAATGGATTTGATTTTCTTCACCAAACCAACAGCTGCCTTATTCAGTGACCTTAGAAATGATAAACCTGGGACTAGCCTGGGCCCTGGAGTGGGTTTGTAAAATGGTCTGTTTATTTCTAGAAAATAAACTAAATTTTTGATCATAAAACCTTTAATGGGGTTGAATCTGAGTTCCTAGAGTCAATAATTCTATAATACTGTACAAGATATTTAACTTCTCTGTGTCTTGGCATTTCCATATGTTTAGATGCTATTAACAATACTAACAGCTCTATAAATTTGACCAGACTTTTGTGATTTTTTTAAGTATATTTTATTGTGGTAAAAAAAACAACAAAATTGACCATGTTAACTTTCTTTAATTGTACAGATATGTGGCAATAAGCACGTTCACACTGTTGTGCAACCATCAGCACCATCCATCTCCAGAAACTTTTCATCTTCCCAAACTGAAACTCTGTCCTCAAAAACAAGAACTCCCCTCTGTGCCCCAGCCCATCCCTAGAAACCACCATTCTACTCTATCTGAATAAATATGACTACTCTAGGAACCTCATATAAGAGGACCATATAATATCTTTCCTTTTGTGACTGGACTTGTTTCACTTGGCTAGTGTTGTCAAGGCTCAGTCATGCTGTAGCATGTGTCAAAATTTCCTTCCTTTTAAAGTTTGAATCATATTCCATTGTATATTATATACTCTATTTTATTCATCCATTCATCTGTTCACAAACACTTAGCTGGATTCCACCTTTTGGCCATTGTAAATTAGGTTGCTGAGAACATGGGTGTACAAATATCTATTCAAGTTCCTGTTTTCACCTTTTTTGATATATCCAGAATGGGGATTGCTGACTTTTATAACAATTCTATATTTAATTTTTTGAGACATTACCATACCATTTTCTTTTGTGTGTGAGTTTTAAGTGGGATAATACTTGGAAAAGAGCTCTGAAACTTCTATTCTTTATAAACAAAATAAATAAGTTAGGTGACAGCATAGATGATATTTTTCAATAATGTTTGAGAATTTCTTCTTTGGAATTTTCCTCTCATCTCAAACTCAACATCTCTGAGCCTCACTTTTGTCCCTAGACAGTGAGGGTCACAATACAGATTTTGCAGGTGTGCGGTGAAATTTAAAGGTATTAACATGAAAGTCACTCAGTTGTGTCTGATTCTTTGTGACTGCATAGACTGTACAGTCCATGGAATTCTTCAGGCCAGAATACTGGAGTGGGTAGCTGTTCCCTTCTCTAGGGGATCTTCCCAGCCCAGGGATCGAACCCAGGTCTCCCACATTGGAGGCAGACCCTTTACCAGCTGAGCGCCAGGTAAGCCCAAATAGTATTAATAGTAGACTGATCTACACACACTGTTGTTACAGGTTCAACACTGTCAAACCGTGGCAGTTTCATACACTTCAGCCTAGTACATTTGTTGATATTCATTTGCCCTTCCAGACCCACTCTACAAATTTTGACAGACTCTATTCTGTGTCCTAAAAGACAGAGCTATGCAAACAGCTGTATTGCTATCTGGCCTTCAATTAATTCAAATGGGACAAGCAATAGATCACACAGCAGGAGAAGGGTGTGGTTGGGAAATTCATTCCCCAGCATCCTCGCTCCCAGATTACGGTTTGGCCAGCAATTACATTCCTCCAATGAATTCCATCGCTCTTCTCAGGTAGCCTTCTCCTACAGGACCAGCTATAGCTTCAGCTACACTCACACTGTAAGCCCCTTCAAGTCTAGGTATGCTAATAGCTCTCCGAGATTGGCAGTCCCAGGGTACCCTACCATTTTTCATTAGTTTCTCTTAAACACATCCTCATCTAAGTCGTTCCTTTATTAAACTCTCCTGGGTTACCCTATGTAGGCATGCCATCTCTTTCCTACAGGGACTCAAACTGATATCATACACAGCATCGTTAAATATACTGCCTTGCTTTTAATAAATGCTCAAAAAAATGATAGTAATTGTCATGAAAATCATTTCCTTTTTTTTCCTATTATGAATTCTTTCTGTCTTTGGTTAATCATACTACTTATCTCAAGTCAAAATTGCTCATATGCTAGTGGGATGATCAATAAATCATCTTTGTGAAGATCATATATAAGGTAAGGTCTTCCTTCAAGGAGACCTATTGGGTTCTCCAAGCAGCCACATGCTAGAAAACAAAAGACAGGTATCCAGTTCCTTACATCCTAAATCTTATCTTTGTTCTATGTCGAGTATGTTGAAATAGCTTGAAAATAATTGACTTGAGAAGCTAAGCAACCCAAAAGTTACTCTGGGTTTCTACTCAATAAAACCATTTTACCTCCTGCTGAAGATGAACTGTCCCTTACCCAACAGGTGTCAAGATGCAGAGGACCCTAACCACAGTGCTAGTTTAGACAGAAGACAGATGGCAAAGATGGATTTACTATGAACTCATGAATCTCATACTGCAGGGAACCTCACTTGTATGAGCTCCTTTCAAGACCCTGGCAGGAGCCCAAGAAATCTATGCACAAGGTCACTTGTGTTTGTAAATTTGCAAAAGTAAGAAAAACGTCTCTTTCCACTGCAACTTCCCCTCTATCATATTTTCTCTTAGAATGGAGTAGAAATGGAGTGACTGGGCATTCATTAGTTTTAGTGGGATTTATTTAAGCTGTTTATAAGTATTTCTCAGTAAAGTTAATTTACTGTTATTTATTCCATTAAAAATGGCTTTGGGGATTCTATTTCTGGCCAGTGTGCTGACTCAACCATCACTGTGGCATTAAGATGCAAAAATAGAGGCTGTATCACAATATGAAAGTGTCTTACAACACCTGGCACAGAAATCTGTGAGTAGTGAAGGAAAAACAAGATTTGCAAATATGTAGCTAGAAGCTCATCTATATAAAAATTCTTTCAATCATCTGACATGCAAAATCACAAGCAGGGAATTTAGCTCCCATCATTTCTAGTCAAACAGGAATGTAATCAATAATGCAACAAATAAAAATTATAAAAGCTCCATACATTTTAATTTTTGCGTGGTTATCATGCAGCATAAAATTTACCTGAATTCTTTTTATTGTAGAACACAAAACTATAGGAATACCAAATATCCATTTATCTCTAATAGCTCATAAAAGGAAGAAAATTTAATAGAGGTTTTTAAATTTTACATTTATTGCTGGGTCTTATGGTAAGAGTAGGTTGAGTTTTGTAAGAAACCATCAAACTGTCTTCCAAACTGGCTGTGCTATCCTGCATTCCCAGAAACACTGAATCAGAGTTTCCATTCCTCCACAGCCTCATGAGCAATATTGTGTTGCCAGTGTTTTGGATTTTGATTATTCTAATAGGTGTGTACATAATCTCATTGCTGTTAAGATGGCAAGTGACTAATGATACATAATGTATATCTTCTTTGGTGACGTACCTGCTAAGGTCATTAGTCCATTTGAGTTTTAAGAGGTTTTTGTATATTACAGATAACAATCCTTTATGTCTTTAGCAAATACTTTCTCCCAGTGTATGGCTTGTCTTCTGATTCTCTTGATTGAGCACATTTTTAATCTCATATATTATCATTTCCATCTCTAAAAGTTTGATTTGATTTTTGTAATTTTTAAACATACTTAAAGCAGAAACTTGAAAGTAGAGCTTCTTAAAAATACAGAAGACAATTACAATAATTGGTTTGATGTCCCCTTGTATTAGTTCTATCATCAATGTGATTTCTAGATGTTTTAATGGAACAATTTTTACTTTAATTATGTGTCATATTTTTCTGTTTGTTTTCATGCCTGTTAATTTATTATTCAATATCAGACGTTGTAAGTCTTGCCTTACTGAGTACTAGACATATTTCTTTTACAATAAATAATTTAAGCTTTATTCAGAGATGTATTTAAAACAGTTTGATTTGGGTGGGTTCTAGAACTAAATTTGCACCACTGCTTAGGAAAGACCCTTCTGAGTACTCTATTTATGACCCATGAACCATGAAGTTTTCCTCCAAGGGAAGACCCCCTCCCTGGAGGAGGGCATGGCAACCCACTCCAGCATTCTTGCCTGGAGAATTCCCATGGACAAAGGCACCATGGGGATCTACAGTCCTCAGGGTAACACAGAGTTGGACACGACTGAAGCAATTTAGCACACACATGAAGCTTTTCACTTTGGTGCAAATGAAACTATTCCCGACCCTGACCGAGTTATGGGGACTACTTCCTCTAAACCTGGAGGCATTTGTTTCACTGATATTAAACACCTTCTGACATGCATGATGAAGTGATCAGATGTCAGCTGAAGAGCAGGAGGAGATCCTCTGTAGATCTCCAGACTTGCTCTCTCTGATTCTTTCTCCTCTCTGCTCCTCTGCCCTGTAATCTCTGCCTCCTCACCCTCGGTGGGCTCCTGTTTCTCTCATTTAGCCAGAGAAACAGAGAGCCACCTCCTGGGCCTCCCCCATCCGCACAGAGCCTGTCTCCAGGCGACCAGTAGGGACCACTATAAAGCTCATTTCATTTGTTTCCTCAATTCTCAGGGATCATAGTCCTTTATGATGTGATATTTTGTGCTTCAAAAATCTATATATTTTGCCTGTTCTTTGTTGTTTCAGCAGAGAAGGCAAATTGAGGCACTATTACTTCATTTTGGAGAGGAACTACTTGGGACCAGCAGCAAGTCCTTAGACCTTCACTAAACTATGCCAAGGTACAAGAAAGAAGAAAATACTGCCTCACAGGGTCGAGTACAGATTCTTTCACTGGTCTCCCAACTGGCCCACAGACACTACACTTTCTTGTCCCTACTGTCAGGGAAAGCTCAGCTTACTTTCCTTGTAGCCTCTGCCTTCTCACCATGCAGTAAGTTTATACCATCTAGTTGCTAATTTTTAAAGCTTTTATAGGTGTGAGCCATTATTCTCTGAATCCCTCAGATTTCAGGGGACAGATGTTGATTTCTCTGAGAACTTTCGTGAGCTCCCCTTCCACGACCTGAAGAACTCTGAGAACTCTCTAAGGATATACTCTTTGCCTATTTCCAATCTTCCAATGAATTAATAGCCTTATTTTATAAAAGTTGGAGATAATTAATAAGCTAGTAGTCATGAAACAGTCTTCCAAACTTTTAGTATATCTTGCATAGGTTATCTGACAGCTATTGTTCTCAGCTTTTTGAGGCCAAACAACTAGAAAGTAGGAAAAGTCTCTTTGGCTAACCTGTTTCATATACAATATCTTATGCATAAGACTTGTTAGCATGTAGTCAAAGTGCTATGACAAACCTAGATATATTAAAAAGCAAAGACATCACTTTGCTGACAAAGGTCTGTATCGTCTAAGCTATGATTTTTCCAATAGTCATGTACAGATGTGAATTTGACCATAAAGAAGGCTGAGTGCCAAGGAATTGATGCTTTTGAATTGTGGTGCTGGAAGAGACTCTTGATAGTCCCTTGGACTGAAAGGAGATCAAACCAGTCAACCCCAAACGAAAATCAACCCTGAATATTCATTGGAAGGACTGATGCTGAAGCTGGAGCTCCAATACTTTGGCTACCTTATGTGAAGACCTTATGTGACTCATCAGAAAAGACCCTGATTCAGGGAAAGATTGAAGGTAAAAGGAGGAGGGGGCGACAGAGGATGAGATGGTTAGATAGCATCACCAACTCAATACATGAATCTGAGCAAACTCCAGGAGACAGTGAAGGAGAAGGGAGCCTGACATGCTGTAGTCCAAGAGTCAGACTGAACAACAACAATCAAAACACATAGAAATACTGCCTGACAAATAATGTACTTCCAGTAAATATTTGGTGAACAAGTAAATGAGCAATCAAAGGGAATGTCACCAGGTTTGCTAGCATATTATAAAACCTGCAGGGTTTACAGATGTTAAAACACTCATAGAAAGGAATAGTAAATTATCAACGATTTCAAAAAATTCTTAAATGCAACCAAATGATGTGACTTTTTCCACACAGCAGACTTCACATCAGCACCAATAGATTCTCAAAGCCAATAGAACACTATCTCCAAGAAATATTTTGCCAAGGAAACAAAGTTGCTTTCAATCTGAAATTTTGTACAAGAGTGGGGAACAAAGTAAAAATATTTTCTGACAAACAAAAGAATTGAGATAATCTATAGATTACAAACAACAGTAAAAGAACTTTGAAAACCTATTCCATTTCATAGGAAAGAAAATGGAATCAGGAAAAAAGCAAGGGGATATAAAAAGTAAATGTGAAAAAGAATTTTTTTTAGCATGTTTTTGGTTTGGTTTGTATGCTGCTGATGATTTTTAGTCACTTCAGTCGTGTCTGACTCTGTGCAACCCTATGGACTGCAGCCTGCCTAGATCCTCTGTCCACATGCCCCTCTGCCCATGGGATTCTCCAGGCAAGCATACTGGAGTGGGTTGCCATGCTCTCCTCCAGGGGATCTTCCCGACCCAGGGATTGAACCCATGTCTCCTTCATTGCAGGCAGATTCTTTACCACCAAGCCACCAAGTCAGTAGAATTTAAATATGGACTGCCTACTCACAAAACTACTAATGATGCAATTTATTGTTTAAAAATGAGATGAAACTAAAATAGAAGCAATAGCATAGGGAATGGAAGTATGTCAGAGTTAAAAAATCCCAAAGCTAATATGCCATTCTACAAAAGGATAGAGATGTTGGCTAACTAGAATTTAGGGGAAATTTTAAAATTTGTTTTAAAATGTTTAAGAGTAACCACTAGGAATAGAAACAAGTTACATAGCTTCAAGTAAAAGTTAAGAGGAAAAAAGAAAAACAAGAAAATCTTTAAAAATTGTTTTAAAATAGGAAAAATAAGATGTTTCTAATAAGTCCAAATAAGATAGTGAGATGGGTTTCCCAGGTGGTGCTAGTACAAAAGAAACTGTCTGCAAATGCATGATACAAAAGAGATGCAGGTCTGATCCCTGAGTTGGGAAGACCCCCTGGAGGAGGGCATGGCAACCCACTCCAATATTCTTGCCTGGAGAATCCTGTGGACAGAGGAGCCTGGTGGGCTACAGTCTATAGGGACACAAAGAGTCGGACACGACTGAAGTGACTTAGCATGCATGCACACAAGACAGTGAGAAAAAGCAGCCTCTGAGATCCAGAAACTGACCTGACAATTACAAGGAGACCTGAGAGTTTTTACAAGTAAACCGGTCACTCAAAGCTGGGCTATGCCATTCTCCTGCTGGACATAAATCATCTTACAGAACAGCAACTTCAGACCAAGCTGCTGTGAGACAATGATTTTAAAAAAGAGCCGAAACGAGAACACTATCACATGTTCTAAACGGACTCACTGTCACCGAAACATCCACGAAATACTGAGCATCCCCCTCTCCTGGCTAATATGAGTGAATGCTGCTTTTTTCTCTTGACAGTCACAGCTTTTGTCTCTCTCTCACCTGCCCTCCTTCTAGCTAAGATTTGCTAAGATACTCAGTTATAGAACTGTCTCTATTTTCTGATAGCATTCAATTCACAACAAACCTCCTTTTTCTCAGACCTTCCCACAAACCACCTAATCAAAGCCCCAGTCTAATAGCAGGTCCTTTACAACAGCCTCTTTCTGACTCCCCTCTTCCTTGCCCCCATGGTATGCAATCTCCCATGATTCAGTGGCTTGTAAGCCCCGTGAGGACTGATGTGGGCATTGCTGGGTCTTTGGCTGGAGAACACTGACACCTACAAACAGAATAAAATTTAAATGATATTATAGTGCACTCTTCTCATCAGTTTGTTCCTAGATCTAAGAACAAAAAGCACCATTTTAATTTTATTATGGCTGTAGGTATCAGTGTTCTCCAGCCAAAGGCCCCAGGAATGTACACATCAGTCAATACTGAGTTTACAGTCGCCTCACATAGGTCAGAATGGCCATCATAAAAAATCCACAAATAAATGCTGGAGAGGATGTAGGGAAGTGGGAACCCTCTCCACTGTTGGTGGTACTGTAAAGTGAAACAGTCAATATGCAGAACAGTATGGAGGTTTCTTAAAAAACTAAAATCAAAGCTCCCATATGATGAGCCATCCCACTACTGGGCCTCCACCCTGAGAAAGCCGAATTCAGACACATGCACCCCAGCATCCTGCAGCGCTACCCACAACAGCCAGGACCCAGAAGCAGCCTAGATGTATGACCACTGACAGACGGAGGGAAAAAGAAGACGTAGCACACTAGTATCTACTTTGAACGTTCAATTCTCTGGTATTTTTTCTTCATCTCTTTCTAGTATTAAGAATGAAATGATTGACTAATTCATTTTTAAAATTTTGTTCGTTTACTTGTTTTTTGGCTGCACTGGGTCTTCGCTGCTGCATGCAGACTTTATCCAGCGGCAGCAAGCGCACGCTCCCCTCTGGCTGGGGTGCCCCGGGGTTTCACTGTGGTGGCTCTCTCGTTGTGGAGCACGGGCTCTGGGGTGCGTGGGCTTCAGCAGTTGTGTGTGGGCTTCCACAGGTGTGGCCCGCAGGCTCTAGAAGGCGAGTTTTAGTAGCTGTGGCACGTGGGCTGAGTTGCCCTGAGGCATGTGGAATCTTCCCGGAACAGGAACTGAACCCATGTCCCCTGAACTGGCAAGTGGATGCTTAACCAAGGGACACCCAAGGAAGTCCTGACTAACGCATCTTCAATAGGCATTTCAGAATATGTATATATCTCTGAGCACAGATTTGACCATATACTATTCATGATCACACAAACATAAAGCTCTTCTTGTCCTCAGTTCCTAAATACTCTGAGGCTGCAATGATCATACTTCAGTTATTTAGGAGATCTGATTTTTTTCCACTCAGTAAAGCTTTGTCTCTTTAATTTTTTGTGCTCGATTTCTATTTTTAGAATATGATAGTGATAGCATCTTACCTATATATTAACTGAAAAGTTCTTATTTTTCTCATGTATCATTTTAAATAATTTTCCATGAATAATTTATAAGGTTATATATTCTCCAGAAGATAGAAATATATACATGTATACTTAATACATGTTCTCAATATATATTTCTCAATATACATGCATCTTTATGAATAAGATTTTCTGTATACACTAAACTCCAAAGTGCAAGGACTGTATTTCTTCTATATGATTGCATCATTAAAACCTGGCACAATCCCAAACATATTAAGAAATAGGAAATAATTATTCTCATTTATTCTTTTTCTCTAAATGATCTCTCAAAAACTAAAAGATGTGTTAAAAATCCCTCACTACTATACTTATATTGACTATTCCTTGCATATTTAAAGGCATTTATTGGATATATTTACATTTGACCTTATTTGGCATATCAAGATTTAGAACTATTATATCTTCATGAGGGAGTTTTCCATCAAAATAAAATCAGCATCTGTCCACATTGCTTTTGGAATTGATTCTATTTTGATTATATCCAGCAGTTCTGGAGTTATTTTCCTTCATATTGCCTGATATATCTTTGTCCCAATTTTTAACTAATTGAAATTCTCTTATAGTTGTACTTCTTATAAAAACTATATAAATGCTGTGTTTTGGTTGTTTTAACTAATATGAGCCGTTGGCCTCTAAAAGGCGAAATATCCTAAATGTTTCCTATGCTTTTAGTTTTTATGCTTCCTTTTATTATATGGTATTTAATAAATATCTTTTATTTGCTTTTACTATTTTGCTAATAAGTTAGGAAATATATGTCATATTTTAAGAGTATGTACTCTCAGATATCAAGAATCATATACTTTCTCAACTCACTGGTGTAACAAAGGACATAATTTATTGCTTCCTGTTTATAAATATTAGAAAAGCAGCATTTTCTTACTCTTCCTGCACCCTCTCCACCAATTGCCCACCTCTCAATCAACATCTGTTAAATTCCAGTGTTCTGTTACTATTTTCTGTCAACTCTCATCTCTTATTTTGGAGTCTCTTTTTATGAATATTCCTGAGCATACAAACCACCGACTTAATGAAATTTACTTTTATATCCAATGATGAATAATTTTTGGAAGCATGTTTTCGTCTGCAGCTTAAATTCTCATTTGTATTTCAAATTATTTTTATGGACTTCATCTTGTTTGTTTTCCTTCTTCTGTTTCTTCATTGCTTCCATCCTTCTTGAGGAAAGACAGATCCATTCACCTAAGCCAGAGAGTACACTGTGGTTGGTTCTCATTATTCATGGCTTCCTGACTCCTCCTCTCAAACCACAAGCAGGAAAGCTAAACAAGACCCAATTGCCAATGTGTTATTCAGCCTTTCATTGAGAGTGGCTGGCCTGAACAGTCTTTTCTATTTGGCTTGATTACCTTTCTACTAGGAACAGAGTTTAATCTGTACAATCTGAAGCAATCTGTGGTTCTTCACTTATCAAAAATGATAAGTGAAAAAATTCAGCTCTCTGAATATCATTCTGCAACTTGCAGCCTTAAAAACTTGAAACGTAACTTGTAACACATCATGCCCTTCCCACCACAGACATAAATTATGTCTCATATAGAACAGTGTTTGGCAGAATAATTGCAAAAGACGAGGAGCACCCCTGCTCAACAGAAGCTGGTTTTCTTCCTTTTGAAAATGGAAGACCACTCCTCCCTGAGGTGCAGGTACACAGGATGTGATGGATTAAACACGTGAACAACTTTTTCTCCATGTGGTTCATCATCCTGCCTTAGGACTTCATCTGATCTGTGATGCATGGAAATTCCCCATTAAATATGGCATATCCTAGGGTCTAGGACCAGACCATGAGTCTGTACTGTTGAAAACATGCACTTTTTTCTTCAATGATAACAGAAGGACTGCTGCTGAAGCTGAAGCTTCAATACTCTGGCCTCCTGATGTGAAGAGCCGACTCACTGCTGGGAAAGATTGAGGGCAAGATGATGCGGATGCTGGGAAAGATTGAGGGCAAGAGGAAAAGGGGATGACAGAAGATGAGATGTTTGGATGGCATCACTGACTCAATGGACATGAGTCTGAGCAAACTCTGGGAGACACTGAAGGACAGGGAAGCCTGGTGTGCTGCAGGTCATGAGGTTGCAAAGAGTTAGACATGACTTAGCAACTTAACAACAACAGTGTAGTATAGTGTTAGTTGCTCAGTTGTGTCCAACTCTTTGCAACATCCTGCCAGGCTCCTCCATCCATGGGATTTTCCAGGCAAGAATACTGGAGTGGGTGGCCATTTCTTTCTCCAGAGGATCTTTCCGACCCAGGGATTGAACCTGGGTCTCCCGCATTGCAGGCAGACTATTTACCATCTGAGCCACCAGCGAAGTTATTTGAGACAAATTCTTAACTTTGCCGCATACAGTGGTGTAAGAGGCCGAGTCAAGCAAATGCATCTATTTGTACGGATTCTATTTGCAGTAGTAGTATGTCTTCCTCCTAGAGAAATGGGCCTGTATCCACAATCTTAAGTGATCAAGTGTTGCCTCAGCAGAAGATATAAAAGAGAGGCTCACTGTTCAACTAAAACTCTTGTTGCAAGCTGATTCCTGTTACTTCACTTCCCTTTCACCTCCCCAGTGTTTTTCCATGTCTATCTGTAACAACATTCATTCATTCACTTGTTCCACAAATGTTATTTCCCTTGCTCTGAGGTAGGCACTGGAGATATACTGTGGATAATACAAGAATAGTCCTTGCTCTCATAGAACATATAGTCTAATGAGAAGAAAGCCAGTAAACAGGAAATAAACAGATAATGAAATACTTATTAAAAAGTTATGTTATGATGAAGAGTGAGCCAAGGCAATGAATGCACAAGGGAGTACTTTAAATAAGGCAGCAGCAGACTCCTTTTCCTTTTAAGTTGAGAACAATGATAAGCAGCCAGTTTTGTGAAGTTGTGTAAGGATGACAATCTGTGTTCTGGGCAGAATTGTAAGTGGGAAGCACCAGAAGCATAAATAAGGAGAGTGATTAGAGGATACATGGATTCATCACATGAGATTTGGAGAGGTTCTGGCATAAACTAGAACATACAGATTTTGAAGGTAAAGAATATGGGATAAATTCTAAAGCCACTGAAGGATTTTTGAGAGTTACCTGATATTTTAAGTGGGGAATAATGTGATACATTTTAAAAACCTGATTCTGGAACAGGAAATGGAGAAGATGTAGAAAAAGACTAGAAGCAATAAGACCATTTTCACAATTACAATCTCCACCCAGAACGGGACACATTTCAGTCCAAAGGTTAAGACTCCTCACTTCCAAGGTGAGGGGTGCAGGTTCCATCCCTGGTCGGGGAACTAAGATCCCACATGCCTGGTAGCATAGCCAAAACAAACAAACAAACAAAAGGAAGGAAACACATTTGAAATAAATTTCAGATGTAGAGTCAATATGGCTTATCATTCATTTGGAGATAGGATACTGAGTACAGACACAATAAGGGATGCTTTTACGGATCTTGCTTGAGCAACTGTAGCAGGAAGACTAAAGAAGAATGGTCACAGGTGAGTTTCTAGTTAATAAAACAATTCCAGGCTTTACCAGCTCATCCTTGATTAACCTGGAGCAACTAAGTCCCAATTCTCCTCCGCAAAAAAAAAAAAAAAAAAGGTATAACGCCAAAGACTAAACCAATCAGATTTTCTCCTGGCTACCTGCTTGGCAGAGTCTGAGATTCTGACTTTTCTAGCCACTCTCTGGAGGTCAGATGCCCATCTGGGTAACAACGCAGCAGTGCTCACAAAAGGTCAGTTTTGTTCAGTGTCTGGAATAGCTTCACCTGCATATAATCACTTATTGTACATCTGCTGCTATGAATCCTCTCATCGAGTTTGTGAAGACTCACTATGTTTTAGTGATAAGGATCTTAAGTTGTCACTTTTGCTTCAAAACTGTAAAAACTGGGTGGTACACAGAGTGAGAGAGAAAGGCATTATTTCTCAGGGATAGAATCCCTGCAACAAAATGCTGCAGAACAGGAAAAGAGCCTGGCTTGGAAGCCATTTTTGGTATGATTGTTTAAAAAACGTTTTTTACACTGAATTACATTACATTGTCATTAATGCTATGCCTGGGATTTTGAACCACCACTGGTCTAGCTAGCTGACACTGACATGTCTTCCTATAACTATGTCTGACAACCCACAGCCCACTAGCCCATCAGCTTACAGTAATATTTATGGACACCTTTGAACTCAATCACATAGCAAGTAAGACACACAGAAGAAGGAAAAGCAATGGCAACTCTTAAATAACACTTGTCTTATTTTTCCATTTTTTGTAGGAATGAAGTTAAGGGTTAAATGAACATTAAAGGAGAAAAAAAAAAATGCCTGCTATTTGGGAAGTGTGAACTGGGTGGTACAGTTGAAGAAAAAAACTCAAGAAACATCACACAGTACAGAATTTTCTCTCCCCAAAATGAAGCGTCATTTCAGGTTTCCACCTACATATGTCAATTTAATTATAAAACAGATTTTTATAAATCAGAAGCAATAATGGGGTGATGGGTGAGTGGGTGTGTGTGTGTGTGCATGCATGTGTAATTTTTAAATATTCACTGTGCAGATTTTACACTCCAGAGAATTAATCAAACTGTCAGGCCGAAAACCAAAAACTGAAAAGCACACACAGTGGTATGCCATGGTAACTTAGCAACCAGAGCTGAAGAGGTTAAGACAGAAATTGCTGTCATTTTCTTATATTTAAGAATTTCTACCTGACTGTCTCCCCACTCTCGCCCACCTCCCAAACACACATTCGGATTCCTCCAGGTGGTTGTTCACTGAATCAAATCTTTTATATATTTTAATGATCTTGTGTTTGACAAATTCTATTTGTAGAGGACACAAGGAATCACCTACTGAGTACAGAATTTCAGAGCATCTGTGGATACTTCACTGATCAAAAGTGCAAGTCTTTTGTGCACAACACAGGTGCTACCAACTGGACTGATCATTTCCCATGAGGCTGTGAAACGCACACACATCACGTGCAATCCCTGTCCATAGGTAAGGTGCTTGAGGGACGTGGCCAGTGCCATGACAGCTCTGTCTGGCTCTAAGCGGTCATTCTGCTGCCAGGGGGGCAGTTCTGCAGCGGCCCCTGAACGCGCAGCACTGCAGGGCCTTCAGAGAGCAGGATCTCTGCTGGCAAGGGAATTCCGTCTCAAAACACACAAAGGCGCTCTTGATTGTGAGATCTGACCAAAGAGCGGAAATTAAGGAGGGGGGAAAGGCATTACTCTGGTACTTCAAATGCAGATCTATTTAACACTTTGCATAATGCCCTAATGGCCTTGAATGAATGATGAAAGAGAGTGGACAGCATATCTGATCCCTCCAACCTCATCAATGCTGGCCTGTCTACTGAGTACTCTTTATGCCAGGTTCTCACATCAAGGAAAAGGACCTTACTTGAGGATAGCAGTGGCAAAGGTGAAGTACCACCAACTACATCATTCTCCTTCTCCAGTGCTGCCCTAGGACAAGTTGCTGATGAAATCGTATGTTTTCTCTAAGACAGATACGGCTGGTGATAGACTGAAGACTTTCTAAACCATCTTGACAGTTGCACGATTGTGCTGTATTTTTGGAGAGCCTTCCTAAAAAAAAGTCAGAATCTAAGGTACTGTGTGAATAAGAAGAATGTGATTATGCTAATCATAGAGGGTCCATTTATGACTTGATACTTAGTTCTCCAGCTTCCCAGGTGGTGCTAGAGGTCAAGAATGCGTCTGCCAATGCACAAGATGTAAGAGATACAGGTTTGATCCTTGGGTTGGGAAGATGCCCTGGAGGAGGGCATGGCAACCCACTCCAGCATTCTTGCCTGGGGAATCCCATGGACAGAAGAGGCTTGTGGGCTATGGTCCCTAGAGCTGCAAACAGTCAGACACGACTGGAGTAACTTAGCATGCACTCAGTTCTGTTTTTCTGGCCCTGAACCTGTCCACCCAAGACAAGTGCGCCAGGCCCCTGGCCCATCTTTCCCAAGAGTATTAAACTCAGAAGTGAGGCTTGAATATTGATTGGTTTATGTACCCTTAAGAAGAGCAAGAACTTAGTTATTGGTTCACTGTTATATATTAAGTAAGAAGACACAGTTAAATAATTCTAAAAATAAAAATATTGTGAGGCCAGAATTTACTTGAAATAACAAGGCTATTTAACGTATAATTTATTGCTTGCTGTTATTCTGCTATATGATAGTTCTCGTGGTTCATGAAGGCATTAATAATACTTCCCAATTTTTTTCCTCATTTCCTGTGTGAGCGGGTCTATTAGCTTTATGGAAGCCATATATATATGAGCAGAGATGGGTAGGTATAAATATATCAAAGCAGAAGAATAGCTGTGGGGCTTCTTTGTTTCTTCCTACATGATCTGTGCTTTTCTTTCGAGGGGATGTGCATTACTTCCTGAGCCTCAAAAGTCACTGGCTATGGATCCTAGTGCTTGTTTCTGACCCAATGATCATCATACTAGGTTTTACTACCCCCAAGTGAGACAGTTTTGTTTCTTTTCCTCTTTTGGTGAGACTATTTTACAACACATTTTTCTCTGTGTGTGGTCTTTTATGTATTCATTCCTGTAAGGAGTATTAATTGAGATCCTTTGGGGCCAGTTTGCAGTCTCAGAAAGAAACAGATCAGTTTCCTTACCCGGAGCTGAAAGAAGACGGGGTGAGGCATTCCACACAAACCCAAGACCATGCCTTCTCGGGTCTGCCTGCTCCACTCTTGGTCAAAGGACACAGCAGTCGTATTTCTTGTCCTCTAAGTCAATAAGGTCCAAAGAAAGCACGCACAGCTCCTCCACTGTGGAAGATGATCACCTGGAGTATGGGAAGAAAATATGAGAACTTCCCTTAAAAGTTCTTTTATGTGGGGAAAGGAAAGAAATTATGTAGAGAATCACATTAGCTCATTCTCACTTTTTTTCATGCTTTCAAAGGGATCAGATGGTGTATGAAGTGCCCAGAAGAAACAGGAGGAGCCTGCCATGCAGATGGTTCCACGGTAGCATTCCCTTTGCTTTCAGTGTCACAGTACTGTGCAGTCTGCATTTGCCCACTTAATTTACTCCATAAGGATTTATGCATGATATCATGTAGTTTTAACTAAACTATCCCTTAAAGGGGCTTCCCTGGTAGCTCAGCTGGTAAAGAATCTGCCTGCAATGCAGGAGACCCCAGTTCAATGCCTGACTCGGGAAGATCCGCTGGAGAAGGGATAAGCTACCCACTCCAGTATTCCTGGGCTGCCCTGGCGGCTCAGCTGGTAAAGAATCCTCCTGCAATGCAACAGCCTTGGGTTCAATCCTTGGGTTGGGAAGATCCCCTGGAGAAGGGAACTGGCTCCCCACTCCAGTGTTCTGGCCTGGAGAATTCCATGGACTCTATAGTCCACAGGGTCACAAAGAGTTGGACACAACTGAGCAACTTTCACTTTCATCCCTTAGAAATATACAACTGGAGGGACTTCCCTTGTGGTCCAGTGGTTAAGAATCCGCCTTCTAATACAGGGACTGGGTCACAAAACTAAGATCCCACATGCCCCAGGGCCACTGAGTCCACATACTGCAATGAATAACCTGCATGCTGCAACTGAGATCCCAATGCAGCCAAATAAAAATAAAACATTTTTTTAAAATTCCCTATTCTTAAAAAAGTATATACAACTTGCTTAATATACTCCTGAGTGAAAACACTGCTGACTAAAGACAATACTGTAAGTATAAGGGAACAACAAAAATTGATGGATTTGACATTCTGTCTTTTTTACATATTCTCGTTGTAAATTTTACAAGGGGAAAACAATCGAATGCAATGAGGGCTCCCAAAAAGTTCCCAAAATTTCTTAGAAATTACTAAAAAAGCTTTTAAAATATGGATTTATATCCACTATCAATGGATGTCATTAACTGTGCTTCTTAATGAATTCCAACTTGAGTGAATTAGGTTCCTTATTAATACATACATTAATGCCTATATATATGCACATGCATATAATTTATGAATAAATATGTATACACTTATCATGGTGCATAGTCAAAAAACTGTATTCACAGGGGTCCATGATCAAAAAGTTTGCATGCTACAACTGCAAGCAATGATATTGTAGTTCCTTTTCTGTGTCTAGTGATCACTCGAGGTACACTGGTGGCTTGATGGTAAAGAATCTATGGGTTGAGAAGATCCCCTGGAGAAGGAAATGGCAACCTACGCCAGTCCATGGGATCACAAGAGCCGGACGTGACTTTGCGACTAAACCACCGCCACCAGCAGGTACACTGGCGCAGGGGACTGAACCACCTTGGCTAATCTGTCTCTTGCATCAGTACTGATCTGTTTGACACTTTGTTCACAGGTCTTCTCCTGACCTAGAATGGATTATATTTCAAACCATGAGGAAACCTCTTGATTTTAATGAAAAGAACTGTTTCACTAATGCCATACAAAACCTCCTCCTGCTAAATTTACAATGTATCTTTTCTCTAGTCTTTTGCTAGTCTTGCCTGAAAAGGCTGTCAGCCATTGTCCTTAAACATGACTGGGTCATACTTTCCTACAACAAATACTTATTAATGACCTGCCACAGTCTCCTCCGTGTCACACTGCACAAGGGCCATCCCTCAAATAAGCACATTCAAGCAGCCAGCATCCTCGGGGCGTCCCCCAAATCACCTGTTGAACCACAAACATCTCACAAAGGGTCACCCCTGTCCACACAGAGGGGACACGATGCCTCTTTCCCAAAAGCCCATTTCTTCGGTCTCCTAGCTGTCGCATAAACTGCTGGTCCCAACCTCCTAGGAATCTTCCCCGTGAAATCTGAATTCGGTCCCCAAACAGAAGAGCAGGCAGAGACAGAAGAAAGAAGCAGCCGCTCGGATAGGTGGGCGGCAGGTTTACTCAGCAAGGGAACTTAAGTACGCGGCTTGTTTGGGTACCGCCAGACAGGTTTCCGAACCCTCCGGCCAGAGTCTCTTAACTGTCTTTAGAGGCTTCAGCGGGGTTCAGTCACGTCCACCATCCTGACGGACCCACAACACGTTGGTCTTTAATGACTGCCTCCTAAAAAATGGCTCCCACTGTGGGAATGGAGGGCAGACGGTAAATTTCAAGGAAGGGGAGGAGCCAAGAGACCTCCGATTGCCAGGATCCAGCTCGCAGGTCAACCTGCGGTCATGTCCCGTCAATAACCCGCCCGCCGCTAGGGTTTCTCATCATTGGCGCTGATACTGGTATTGCTGGCTTTGTTGTGGGGCTGTTCTGTGCGTGGCAGGATGTTTAGCAGCATCCCTGGCCCCCACCCACTAGATGCCAGTAGGAAGCCCTCCCTTCCCAACGAAAACTGTCACCAGACATAGCCAAGTCTGTTTTGGAGGGCAAGATCACTCCCACTTGAGAACAGGCTGTGTCAGGGCTCCATGGTAAAATAACAGTTTGTTATGGTAGAAAATATTAGGCAGGGAAGATTTAAATAGGGCTGTCTGTGAGAGTCGCTCTGAGGAGGAGGTTTTCAAGCTGACACATGAAGAATCGGAAGAAGCCAGTCTTCTGATGCAGGTGGGGAAGAGCGTTCTAGGTTGCAGGAATGGCAAGTGGAAAGGCCCTGAATCAGGAGCTTCCTGGACCCCAGAAAAGGACACAAGATTGGAGGCGCTCCTGTTAGTGGTGAGGAGGAAGGTTGGAGACATTGGCCAAGGCTAGATTACACAGGATCTCACGGACCACTGAGAAGATCAGTTCTGGGAAAGATCCTAATTATCAGCTATTCCATAGGCTTAAAAGGAAGCTGCCAGGCCTAGCTTTGTATAGCATTGAAGGAACTGATGGTGTTGAAAGTCACAGATGAAATAATCTCTCTAATAAGAATTTTGATGTTGGAGCCTGAGGGCAGTGACTAGTGAGACACAAGTACAAACACACAGGTAGAATTTAGTTTATGGAGTGGAGGGTTGGTTTCTGCAATAAATAGACTATTAGTTAACTTAGTGAATATTCAGAATATTCAGGTACTGTTGCTAGAAATGAAAAGTTGGTGAGGGCAGAAAACTGAGATGTAATTTCTACAACTCAAAATTTGTATTTGCTAATTTCTCTAAGAAAATTCTTGAGAAATTAATCTGCTGGGTTCTAATTTGCACAAGTAACTTTGTGCATCCCCAGATCTCTAACTTGACCTGCTTTTTGGGGGGAAGGTACTTGCTTGGCAGCTTCAAATATTTGAATTTCAGTTTCTTAATCTGTAAAATGCTGGGCTCTTTAAGGCATGTTGAATATCTAAAATGCTCCAATTCTCTGATCTTTTGCCCCCTCATAGTAAATATAATTTAATTTTGTGAAATCTTCGTGACTATGTAGAATAGTTAGAATTTTTCTCTTTGTTCTCGCTTTATGGATTACTTGGATTTGAGTTTGAGATGATCTACAATCCCAGCCTCACTTTCATAACTCAATTTCTTTGTCAAAACCTGAGGTGAAACTGGCAGTTGCTTTTGGTCCATCGTTCAGCCAAAGATGTATCCAAGAACAATTTGCTGAAAAGAAATAAGAAACTTTCTCGTCTGCCAAACTTCCTCTTGCCTGCTGCTCTTGACAGATATTTACACAGAAAAAAAATCTATAAACACAGATTTTAAAAAACAACAGTTGCTTCTGTTCAAGTTCCCATCATATGCGACCTGATTTTTCAGTCTTCTGTGAAGTCTGGACCCTGGTTTCCCAGTGAGAGCCAAAGCAAACTGCTTTCAGGAGTCTCCATCTCTGTTTGCAAACCCTGCCCTATTTGCCCATTAGGCAGACATCTGGCTTGGGGACCCAGCACAGCTTCCTCCTGGAACCTCAGTCTGAGATAGGGGCCAAGCTGTACCCTGTCAGAATGCATCTGAAGATGCAGAGGTCACTGTCCGGTGGGATACATGGACTTGTTTCTGACACCAGAAATAATCAGAAAACAGTTGGGGACAATGGGTGGCCTGAGGCTAATACTGTTTCCTGAAAAGGAGGGTAAAGGGTTCTGTGATCTACCGGCTGCCCTTGGAAAAGCTATTACAAGGGGAGCGATTCTGTGGTGGGGGGAGGGGGGTGTGGAGTGTGTGTGGGGGGGTGGTTAGACTGGATATGAGTAAGTAATTAATATCTGCTGTCATCTGTTAAATATCATCAAATCATTCTCCAATAATTCCTCTGCTCTTTCAAGTCCTTCCTTCCTTACCTTTCTTTTTAAAGAGCAACTTTTGCAAGAAACAACCATGTTTTACCAGTCTATATTCCTATCACTAATATCTGCTGTTTGCTATAGTTATTTATTGATGCTACCACCTGACATTTTGGACAAAAATAATACTTTGAGATGGAGAAAGAAATGGTACCCCATTCCAGTATTTTTGCCTGGGAAATCCCATGGACAGAGAAGCCTGGCTACAGTCCATGGGGTCACAAAAAAGTTCGACACGACTTAGCAACTAAAGAACAACAATACTTTCAGAGACAAATTAAAATTTTTTGTAAGGTGCTTCTATACTCTGAAAAAAATAATTCTGAAGATCTCCTTATGCTATCTGCAGCTGGTAATGTCCTTGATCATTTCAACACTCTTAAGAAAAATACTACTTTGTATTAGTTCATTACTGCTGTCTGAAAGATCATCCCACAATACAGTGGTTTAAAACAACACTCCTTTATTTAGTTCACAGTCCCGCGGGTTGAAAATGTAAGCCTTTTCATCTCCTGGTCTCCTGGCGGGCCTCCCTGTGCAGTCGAATGCTTGTCAGCTAGACAGTGCTGCTACTGGGGTTGTCTGGCTGTTGGATGGAGTGATGCTGGTGACTGAATTATGTGTCTATTGTCTTCCAGAAGGCTTGCCCAGGCATGTTTACATGTAGTTGCAAGAGTCCAAGAAAGCAAACAGGGGCCTTGATTCAGAACTGCTGTGATAACGTCAACCTAAAGCAAATCAGAGGCAGAGGCTCAGTTCACCATGTGGAGAATTAAACTCATGGTTTGATAGGACCATGGCAAAGTGAAAAGTGAAGGTGTCACTCGATCAGTCGTGTCCAACTCTTTGTGACCCCGTGATCTGTAGCCCACCAGGCTCCTCTGTTCATGGAGTTCTCCAGGCAAGAATATTGGAGTGGTTTGCCATGCCCTTCTCCAAGGGATCTTCTCCATCCAGAGACCAAACCCGAGTCTCCTGCATTTCATGCAGATTCTTTACCAGCTGAGCCACCAGAGAAGCCCTGGACGACCACAGCAAAGCTACCTCCCCAATGCTGTTGATACAGAGGGGCATTTTTGCCCAGCTACCTCACTGCTCAGTACTACATAAGACACACAGGGTACCTTGCATACCTTGTCACCAATTTTTACAAGGACCCAGTAAATTAAATATCATTTTAGAGTTGGGAAAAAAAAGCACAGTTTAAAGAGACTAAGTAGCTTGCCCAAGATCATACATAATAAACGAACCTACTCTGAGTTGGTCCAAGATATGTAGAACCTCAAATCTTTACTTTTTTATTCCTATTTGATACATTTTTTCAGTTTTCACAGTTAACAAATTCTGTCAAATTCTGTTCTCAAATTCTAGTATCTTTGATCCCTCGTCTCTTTTCAAAATCTCATTTAACTGTGGTACCACAACCATACAATTTATTCCAGTGTTCTCTTATTTAAAAAGAAATTTGAGAGTTGCTGGAGTTGGTAAAAACTGAAACTAAACACTTTAGTCTTAAGTAAAACCTAAATAGTCTTTTATACTATGAATTTATTTCATACTGAAAATAATTCTTGGCTATTATCTAAGCTTCATGAATATACCAGAGTCTGGAGGTGGTGGGAGTGAAGGGTCCAAAAGATAAGTAGATATAATTAGGAGGATGGGAACAAAGAGATAGTGAATATTCTAGAATAGATGTGCAATTTTAGTGCTTCCTCGTATCTTGACTCTGCCTTGGATGAGTGCCTTGCACATGGTAGAGTGTCCTGGAAATCAGAACACTTGAAACCTGAGGCCCCTGGCACAACTAACTGTTTGAAGTTGGTGCATCACTTTATTGTCTAGAGCTCAATTTCTCCAAAGAGTGTAAAGAGCTGTAAGCAGCTTTGGGTATAAACTACTCCTACATTCTGACCCGTGGCCTTCGGACACCTGGAGGAAGGGACTTCTAGGGCTGCAATTCAACCAGCCTGCCTTGCTGGGCTCTGCTTGCCAAAATCAAATGCAATCTTTTCCAAACTTTTCAGAGTCAGGCTTTCACAAAAATATGAGCGTTCCACGTGACTTCCAAAAGGCATGCCTTTTCCTAATTCTCATAAATTTCTGATTTGTTTAGCCTCTGCACCATCCTTAATGATCTCTGCTCGCTGTCTCTAGTATCTCACTCCCGGTACATGGTTTATGTTCTCCTCTTGAACTGTGGATTCATGTAATTACTACTTCCTTCTAATTGAGTACAAGCACATGTGACAGCAGCCATGCTTCATCCTCATAAAAGCATCACTTAATGTTCACTAATTGTTAGTGACGTCCTCCCCTCTTCTCCCTGATGTCTGAGATCAACTCCCCTTCGGAAGGAACAAGTCAAGAGAAGGGCTGATGGGGATGTTTAGGAAAACATTGGTTGGGCAACTTCTGCCCTCAGCCTGGGGAGAAATACTCTTGCCTTGGCGCCTTTTCTGGCTTCTATCATCAGAGCAGTAAGACCTTAACATTCCAAATGAAGGTGTGAGTGGGGGACAAGATCATGAAGAGCATCCCAAGGCACAAAGAATCCTCATTTCCAGCAGATGCTCGGGTTTGGCTCCAGACTGGGGTCCCATATAGTGCTTAGGACCAGAAAATCAGTTTTTCATTAGAAGACTCACTTGCTGTCTCTGCATCCTATATAAATCTCACTCAGGAATCCATGACAACAGCAGATGCCTACATGATTCATGGCATCAGATGCTGGTCAGTTTGGACTAAGTAATAGAAATAAGTTTTTAAAGAGCATTATGAACTCTGCTTGGGTCAGGTCTTACTGTTGTGACCGTGATTTAGTCACTCAGTCATGTGCAACTCTCTGTGACCCCATGGACTATACCCACCAGGCTCCCCTGTCCACAGGATTTCCCAGGCAAAAATACTGGAGTGGGTTGCCGTTTCCTTCTCCAGGGGATCTTCCCAACCCAGGGATCAAACCTGGGTCTCCTGCGTTGCAGGCAGATTCTTTACCTACTGAGTCACCTGGGACAATTCCTGCTAATAGTATACTTTGCCACATCCATGAGCTGAGCATTTCCGTTTCTGAATTTGCTTTAACCATTTCAAGTGACTTTTTCTAAAGGGGCTATGCACTATTAAAATAGCAGTACAGAGTTGGTATTCTAGTCCTGAGTTTTGTGGTTAAATTTCTTTTTCCAAATCAAATGTTTACTTTTTAAATAATAAGGATAATATTAGCTGTTAATGTATAATTCTGCTGGGACTCCATAATAAAATATCATAGAATATGTGGTTAAGCCACAGAAATCTATTTTCTTTCAGTTTTGGAGGCTAGAAGTCCAAGATCAAGATGTCAGCAGGTTTGGTTTCTTCCGAGGCCCCTCTCCACAGATGGCAGATAGTCATCTTCTCACTGTGTCCTCACGTGATCCTTGTGAGCAAGTGGTCCTGGTCTCTCTCTGGTCCTAACCTTGTCATGTTGGATGAGGATCACCTTAAAGACCTCATTTTAACTTAATCACCACTTAAAACACCTTCTTCCCAAATACAGTTAAGTCCCCTACATACGAAACTTCACGTTGTAAGCTTTCAAACGTGTACATGCATTTGCATGTCCAATCATGTAAGTTAGTTCACACGTCACGTGTGCGTCCTCCACTGGCGGCTGTGCTTTTGTGTACTTCCCTGCACAGTACTGGATAGAGTACAGTAGTGCAGTATCTTTGTTTCAAGCCGAGGATGTCCAGAAGCAAACATAGAAACAGCAGTGTACAGCCAGTTGTGTTAGCCAGCTGGGTACCTTGGTTAACTTTGAAAAAATTGGACTTACCTTCTCAGAACAGAACTCATTCGGATATAGAGGAATTACTATACAATTGTATCTTAGTACAGGGGGCTAGGGCTCCAGTATGTAAGTCTGCTACTGCTAAGTCACTTCAGTCGTGTCCGACTCTGTGCGACCCCATCCCTGGGATTTTCCAGGCAAGAACACTGGAATGGGTTGCCATTTCCTTCTCCAATGCATAAAAGTGAAAAGTGAAAGTGAAGTCGCTCAGCCATGTCCGACTCTTTGCGACCCCATGGACTGCAGCCAACCAGGCTCCTCCGTCCATGGGATTTTTCAGGCAAGAGTACTGGAGTGGGGTGCCATTGCCTTCTCCAAAGTATGTAAGTCTAGGCAGACACAGTTCAGGCTGTTTACAGTTCCCAGCCTTTACTTCTGCCAGACATGACTCTACTTGCTTTATGTAAGTTAAGTCCACAGTTTCTCCACTTCAGCAATAGTGATGTTTTGGTCTTGATAATTCTTTGTGGGGGTTGGACAGGAGACTTCCCTGAGCATTGTAGGATGTTTAGAATCATCTGCTGCTGATGTCAGTATCAACCATTAGATGCCAGTAGCATCTGCTTACCTTGTCCTTTGTAGCGATCACCGAAAACATATCCAAACATCATCAAATCCTCTCTGGGAGACAAAATGGTCACGACTGAGCACCATGTGTTAAATCTAAACTATATACAACAATCCAAATTAAGGTTTAATATCCCCACTTCATAAAGAAAGATGCTAAGATCAAAGTAAGAATCACTGGTCAAGGTCACAGAGATGAAGTGACAAAGCCTGGGTTTGAACCCTAGTTATTTTTTCCATAACATTAATCTATTCATAGTGTCTACCCTCCTCCTCTCTAGCCTTCAACTTTCAACCATTTTTAACCCAGTTAACTCAAGGTGTGAAACTCAGGACTCAAAATCACCAGCAATTAACCGTGTGAGAAGACCTTTCTATGTCTTTAGGAAAATCCAAATTGTAAATTCTTGTGCCTTTCCCAAATACTGAGCTATCAGTGTTTCAGATTGTCAGCTTGACATAGTACCAACATTATCATCCAGAATGGTCATGGAGACTTCCCTGGCCTTCCAGGGATTAAGACTTCAGGCTTCCAATGTAGGGGGCACAGGGTCGATCACTGGTCAGGGAACTAAGATCCCACATACCAGGTGGACCTGCCAAAAAAACTCTTTTTAAATTAAAGTATCATTTGATCAAAGCTATTTTTAAAAAATAAAAAGATAAAATGATCATGGATCACTGAGAACTGGATTAGAGGATATATCTCAAGAACAACAGATGATAAGACTTAGCCTAATCCAACCATCCATCTACCTCTAAAATGTAGGACAGCCTAATATTAAAGAAAAATTTTAAAGAAGCCAGAGAGTTTAGGATATTGGCCATCGACTATGCAAAGATATAAGTATAGAATTAAGGTTTAAGTTCTGCCTTGTGAGAAATTAAGGATGAAAAATGCTTGGGCAGTGCACCCCAGAGAATGTGACAGCTTCAGAGTAATGCTTGTCTTTTCTTTAAAGCCATAGGTTCATCAAATATTCCTGAACTTCGAATAGCTTCCAGCAAGGAGAGAAAACTAAATGATTGTGCGAGTGTGTATGCTGAAGGGTTCTGGGAGAGCTTCATTCCGAACTCTCAAGAGGTAATCTTTACTTCCCCACCTTGAAGCACAAGACTTGATTAACTTTATCTTAGCATACCAATAAATGTTGTATTGGCCATAAAAACAGTCAGCTATAGTATAAATCCAACTCCAGTATTTAATTCCTTGACCTTCCATGTCAGATTCTTACAAGCAAGCTACAACGTGCCCTGTGAAGTGTCTCCTTTTTATTGGCTCTAAATTTACTATCTGATCACTTTGTAGCTCCTACACTCATCACACCATGAGACAACATAAAATGACCTGTTCCAGAGACCTTCATATTTTGGAACATCTTTATCTATCCGGCTCTGACTATTCCCTCTGCTCCAACTCTTCCATATGGTAATGAATCTCCTGGGGAAGGCATCATTTTTTAAAATACAAATTTGAAGCAAATAAGAGAAAAACCTTCATGCCAATTGAGACTGATACCAAGCTGAATCCTCTGGTATAAATGTTCTGCTTTATCTGTTAGTTTATTACAAAATAATGTTTACTTTAAAATATTTCTAATCTCCAACTGTTTATACTATAGTTTCTTAAGAGTGCTCTCCAAAACTGAATTTTGAAGACAGATCTCTAAATAAATAAATCTTTATAGGCACTGCCAATAGAGGCATTGTTTATTTATAAGGGTGTATTTTATTTTATTGAATCATAGTTGATTTACAATGTTGTGTTAGTTTTGGGTGTACAGCAAAGTGATTCTTGCTAGAAAACAAGAGTTTTAGATTTTTCTCCTGAGTATATATATCTGAATTATATGTATATATATGTATATATCTGATATACACATATGTATATATATATATATGTATATATATCTGGTATATCAGATATATATTATATATCTGAATTATATGTACATATATATTCTTTTTCAGATTCTTTTCCCTTATAGGTTATTGCAAAATATGAAGTATAGTTCCCTGTGCTATACAAGTGCATTTTACTGATTTGTTTATTTGATTTTGGCCACACTGGGTCTTCGTTGCTGCACGGGGCTATGCTCTCGTTGGGATGGACGGGTTTCTCACTGTGATAACTTCCCTTGCTTCAGAGCACGGGCTCCGGGAAGCACAGGCCTCAGTAGCTGCAGCTCGGACGCTCCAGAGTGTACACTCAGTGACTGGCCATCAGCTTAGTTGCCCGGAGGCATGTGGGATCTTCCCGGACCAGGGATCGAACCCACGTCCCCTCCATTGGCAGGCAGCTTCTTAACCACAGGACCCCCAGAGAAACGCCTGTGAGGGTGAGTTTTAAATACTCCATGAAAACTACCTAGCCCCATTCCTTTGCCTCTTGAAAATATTCCTCCTTTTTTATTGTTTTGACACTTCAATTTCTATTTTATTATAGGCTTTGTTTTGTTTTTTTTTAATTATCAGTTTACCAAGGAAAGATGATAGACTGTTCTCCCTGGCCTGGAACCATCTGTGCCCATGAGTCGTAACCAGAGTCTCTCAAAATCATTGTTGAAAATTTTTCTGAACCTTAGCCCTTGACTTGTCTCCCTGCAGAGATGCAGGTCCTCTGATATGCTATGAGTCTCAGAGTAACTTTTACCAATGACAGCTGTCATATCTCAGGTATGTCAGGGCTGTAAAGTAATATTAAAAACCACCAGTCTACTGAAGAACATGTATTCTGGGTTGAGTGGGGGTTGTTAGAAAACAGAGTCTTAGATTTTTCCCCTGAGTATCTCATCCTCTTTGTGTACACACGCTATTCCCTCATCTGGGAAGTCCTTTTCGACTTTTCTGATTCACCTTTAAGTGCCTGGCTCAGCCGTCTTCATTCTGGGATGCCGGCTCCAGGCTACCAAGCATTTGTACCAGCTTCTGTGTTCTCCTCAAACCTTGAAGTTAACTTCTGATGCCTTGCACAAAATCCTTGCAAAGTTTGCCCTTCCTCTTCCTAGACTTCCAGGTCTTGAAAGTTAGGGGTGATAGAGATCACATCTTTACATCTTGAGTACAAAAAAGCCTGCCTGCCTTACAGTGAGGGATCAATATAGGCCACTGAATGGATGAAAACTGATGCTTCAGGGAGAGGACAGGCTGAGTTGGAAGGAATTGAGAAATGGATTGTAGGGAGAAGTGTGAACAACACAAAGACCGCCTAGGGGCCCTTTAACACAGTGAGGACGAAGACCAAAAAACCAAAGATGAATCTTCTCTACTTCACAAATCTGTCCCTAGCCAGTTAGAAATGAACAGCAAACAGAAAAAGCATCACTTTAAGTGTGAAGGTGTCAAGGTTGCTTCTTTAGCTCCCAGTGTCCAGCAGTCCATTCCTCCTAATTTGGGGTGAGAGGGTAGATGGTAAGATTGCACCCCACCTGTAAGTACTGATAATTTTCTTGCTCCAGCCTCAACACGGCGAGCCAAAGGAGATGGCGCTGGTGATGGGTTAAAAATAATAGAGATGCTCTGAAAGTATGATGAAAGCTTCAGGGTAAATATTATTTTAACATCAGAGGCTGCAGCAATAAGACTAAATCCTAGACCGTATGAAAAAATAATGAGAAAGATTTGAGAGTGTTGTTGTTTCTAATAATAATAAAAAAGGAAGAATGTTATCATTTAAGTCCATCAAAACTGAAGCAGCCTGACAGACACCATAAAAAGCAGAGTTTCAGGAGCAGATGGAGACTGCCTTCACTTTGCACACGGTGACTGGGGGAAACGTCTCTCGTCCTTTACCTTTATATCAGAAAATTAGCGCGAGAGCAGGGCCCGTCGCTCTGCAGCAAAAGAGAGAGAGAGAGAGAGAGGGAGAGAAGGCCTGATTCCTTAAATCTCACCTGACTTTGCAGATAATCACTTGCCCAGATGCCCAAGGTAAGTGGAAATTGAAATGGTCCTCACCAATGGTAAAAACAAGCTGGTTCCTTCTGAAAAACACCTAAAAGATATATGTGAACTCTCTCCCTGTGGCTTGCTACCCTGTTCCTCATCTGAATACCCTACTTTCATTCTTTGAGTGCCAGGGTTCTTCAAAAGCCAGTGAAAAGGAAACACAGAGTTGGCCAAGCCACACATTAGGAGCAGATTCTGTTTGGAGAAAGCCGTGGGTAAAATTACACACACCTGCATGAGCCCTGAAATTGGAAAGCAGGTGAGCGACCATCGGGAGGAAACAGTCCATTTTGGGGGAAGCGCAGGGAACACAGAAACCCAGAGAAAGTGAGAAACACAGTGTGACCCACAGGCTCCAGGGCTCCCGTCGTGGGTTCTCTGAACTTTCCTGGCAGCGAGTCAGTACTGGGATGAAAATAGCAAAAGGTGGGCGGTGGGGGGTCTTTTTCCCCTTTCACCTGCTAGAGCTCCTATCTACAAAAATCACAGAACTGGGCAAACACCTTGCTAGAGTTTGTATTAAATTGTTATCACAAAACCTAAAACAGGAATGACAGACTATGGCACTGAGGTGTCCCCATCAGAACTCAAATTCCCAGATATGGTCAAAGCTCATTTTTTGCTTCTCTGTTATCTGGCTGTTTCTGAACTCCTCTAGAGAGAAGCTGTGACTTTTTGAGTGACTTGGTGGAATAATAGAAATAAATGGAATTTATGAACATGCCCTCTCTTCATGGGATGTTCCCTATGTTGAGGAATTGAACAAACTAAATCTAAAATTGGGGCAAGGAGTGATTACTGTCAAGAGTGAATAGTCCAATGTAAAGAGCACGCAAATGGTGGCATGCTCTGTGATTCATTACTGATTGTGGCAGAAACTGCCATGTGCTTGCCGAAACTGGCCTCATTTCCCTGTTGGGCACAAAATAGACTACATTTACCATATTCTTTTGCTGCTTAAAGTGGCCATATTACTGAGCACTGGCCCACAGAATCATGGAATGTGAGTCAGAGTGATATTTGTCATTTCCATGCCTGGCCCATAAAAATGAACTTTCTCTTTCCCTATCTACTAGCCAAATGAAGGAGACACAGTGCAGATCGCCTGGAGAAGGGTGCAACCACACGACAGAAGGATGCTGGGTCCCTGCAGGGCCTCTCCCTGATGGCAGATGTGTCCAGTGAACTCTGTGTGAGTGTGAACGTTTTATTTGTTGAGCTACCTGCATGTAGGCAGTCTATTAGCACAGATTGCTTCATTTACCCTAATCAGAGTACGTGCTTATAGGATGAACTTCAGGGCTTCAGTTTCTTCATCTTTAAAAAAGGGCTATTATCCTTCCGTTTGGGCTTCCCAGGTGGCTCACTGGTAAAGAATCTGCCTGCCAATGCAGGAGACACAAGAGACCCTGGTTTGATTCCTGGTTGAGGAAGATCACATGCAGGATGGCATGGCAACCCCCTCCAGTATTCTTGTCTGGAGAATTCCATGCAAGGAGCCTGGTGGGCTACAGCCCATGGGGTCAGAAAGAGTGGCAGGTAACTTATCAACTAAACAACAACAACCACAAAATTGTTACATTTGACATTCTTTTCTGTCACTTAGTTACATCCTAAGGCTTCATCTCAAGACCAAGAGAAATCTATTCAGAGCTCCATATGCTGTTACTGATAAGCACCGTCAGGACCAAGAATATACAAACAAGCGGAACTGTATTTCTTCTCAAACATTTTGTTTCTGTGTAGATCTAAAGAGTGAGAGTAAAGACAGTAACAAAGCTAGTGAGAAAGCAACTTTTCCTAAGTTATTGTTTATGTGTGTGCATTTGTGTGTTTATTCAGAGATACAAGTTAATAGATTTTTTTGGTAACCAGATGCAAAATGTTAGGCACCTTGTTTGGAAAAAGAAAAGAATGTGTGGACTCTACCTTACCTGGTCTTGTTCATGAAAATGGTCCCATTTGGACACATAAGCAGCCAGAGGGTTTCATATAGTTAGAACATGCACTTAACTAAATACTACCTGAATTGGTCAGCTGGTCAATTCTGGTTGAACAAAAGCAATAGAAAGCAAAATAGAATTTGTTTTAAGAAAAGGCAATCAATCACCCTTTCATTTTCCCCTTAAGAGCACTTAAAACATGATATAACTTGGATTTACTTCTTGTTTACCTAAAGAAACGTTTGCATCATTATCCGGAGGCAGTCCTATGAAATATACAGGAGCCATGTATTTTAAAACACCTGTAAAATGACCCAATGCAGCTCTGTCAGGCCCATGGTACATGAAACGCAAAATAAAAATAAAAACAATTTCCAGCTTTTTCTTTTCCCTAACAAGCAGGAAAACCTATTTTAATACCTGAATATTCAGCTGTAATGTGTGTAATTTTGTAGTCCCGCCATAAAGAATATTTTTCCTCCTTGTACAAAGACATAACAGATGCAATTAGAGGATATTATATTGTCATATGCATCAGAGGAATAGAGTTGGTATTAAACCTTTCACATGGCACTCAGGCACGAAGGCATCAGAAAAGGAAATGGCATCACTCAGAACCCCTTTCACCTTTCAACCCCGGGGGGCCTCATTATATCTGAGGGAAGGCCTTTGTAAAAGTCAAATGCAGAATGGGCTGTAGATTGGTGGGGAAAGGAAGAAGGCTCACGTGTCAGAAGCAGCACCCTCTCAAGGACTGAGTGAAGTGCTAATTTTACATGCTTTGTTGATCTCAGATACTGCGGGGATAGGATGGGGAGAGGTTTGATAGATGAGACAGCCCATTTAAGATCTCAGACAAGGGTAGGTGATGGTGTTGAATAACAATGACCAGAGAATACTTCATGCACCATCACTCGCAAATCCTGATTACAGACAAGACACCTACAAATGACTCTGAGATTTGAAGGTACCTCCGTCCATGTTTGATCAGCAACTTGGAGCAGCCTCTGCAGGGTCATCAACTGCCAATCTTCATTGTATTAATATTCTAGGTTTCATATTCATTCAGATGAAAAAGTAATGAAACTTCAAAACAATGTAATCGTATTATGGTATGTCTAAACCTACCTTCTAAGACACCCCCTGTGCTCTGGATAATGCTTTGTGTCATTCAGCAAGACATTTTTTCTTGCTGCATTAGATTTTGTAAAAGGTCAGAGAAATAATGATGTCTATGCAACTTTTCTGAAGGATGCTTCTCAACTCCTGAAATATAATTTTCTTGCATAGAACTTTCTTCTCTATACATGGGAAGAGAAGCTGATTTGAAGGGAAATTGAATTTGTTTCATTTTGAACTAGCCCATATCCAAACAATGTATTTTTAAATTCTTGAGCACCTACTAAACACCAGATATTTTTACACATGCTATTTATGCATTTAATAAATATCTGGGGACTTCAGCAGTGGTCCAGTGGTTAAGACTTCACTTTCCAATGCAGCAGGTACAGGTTCAATCCCTGGTCAAGGAGTTAAAATCCCACTTGCCTTGAAGCCAAAAAACCAAAACATAAACCAGCAACAATATTGTAACAATTTCAATAAAGACTTTAAAAATGATCCACATCAAAAAATCTTTTTAAAAAATGATATAGCTATAAACAAGTCAGATAAGCTTGCTTTCTTCATGGACCTTTCCTTCTATTTGTGGGAGGCAAAAAATGAACAAGAAGCAAATAAAGACAAACGGAGACTGTAAGACATACTACACTGGAAACAAACTGAGTATGCCAAAGATTTATTGAATATCTATCATGTGCAAAACAATGAACGATGAACATCACTGTGTGCTTTCAGAACATGGGAATGAATAACAAAATTATCATCCTCTCCTCAAGAGGCATACAAAAGTGTAGGGAAATGCAAATCACCAATCACTTTGTTCATGTCAAAGTATTTTACATATTGTCATTTCTGTGGTTTGTGAGAACTGGACCTTAAAGAAGGCTGAGTACCAAAGAATTGATGCTTTTGAATTGTGGTACTTGGAGAAAACTCTTGAGAGTCCCTTGGACTGCAAGAAGATCAATCCATTCAATCCTAAAAGAAATCAACCCTAAATACTCATTGGAAGGACTGTTGCTGAAGCTGAAGCTCCAGTACTTTGGCCACCTGATGTGAAGAGCTGACTGACTAGAAAAGACCCTGATGCTGGGAAAGATTGAGGGCAGGAGGAGAAGGGGGCAGCCGAGGATGAGATGGCTAGATACCATCACTGACTTAATGGACATGAATCTGAGCAAACTCCAGGAGATAGTGAAGGACAAGAGAGCCTGGTGTGCTGTAGTGCATGGGGTCATAAAGAGTTGGACATGACTTAGAGACAGAACAATAAAAACAAACTCTAAGCTCAATTCCTTATATTCTCCTCCACAAAAAGTTCATATATGAGAATGTGGTAATAAACAATAGCTAAATTTTAAAAGAGTTGCATGAAAATCTGAATTTAAATCCAAGAGAGGAATTAATTGAATTTAAATCTAAGAATCCAGTCAATGACCTGAATTTAAATCCAGGAGAGGCACTTCCTAGAAAGTTTCATAAAGAAATAATTTTGTAATGTCAATGTGTAATGGGGGACAGTAACATAAATTTTTCATGTGTCCCCAAATTTACTAACAATCAAAAGTGGTGATTTACCTGATTTTGTAAGAAAGGACAGAAGTTAAGCAGGTTGTGGAGACACACACACAGACATTGTCACACACACACCTGGCCTGGAGTCTAAGCAGCTGTGTAGGGTCCAGGGCAAGATAGACCAGGCCCAGCCTCCGCTTCCTGCCAAGAAGGCAGGCCAGGAGATCAGCAATGTGTGTAAGCTACAAAGTGGTTGCCGCTTCTCTTCTGCCTTCCAAACCTCCCAAGAATCTCCCTCCCTTGTGGCCCATCCTAACAAGAAATACACAAGAAAGCAAATTCTGGAAAAGGTGGTTCGGTCTAGCCAAGTTGACACGGCACCAAACCATCACAGGCATTGTGCTACTTGTGGGCATACTGAGAAGATTCAGACCATCCTTCCTATCTTGGCATACCTGACAATTTTCATATCACGTGGTGAGTTTTACAGTCAAGGCATACACTTGGGCTTCAAGGCCTATAGAAGCTTTTCTCCCAGTGTGGGAAGCCATAGAAAACTTCCTAAACCAAATCTTAAACGATATGTATGAAATAGGGACACAAAGAACGATAAGAACAGAGTCTCAGGAAAAGAAAGCATCACAGTTAAAGACTCACAGGGAGTATGTGAGTCGGGGTTCATTACAGGATGCTATGCCAAACAGCAAAATCTCAACACAGGTTCTGTTTCACTCACATGTATGTTCAGTGCACTTGGCTACATCTCTCCCAGTTTTCTTCATTCCAAGCCCCAGGCTGAAAAAGCAACCCTCACCTAAGACATCCCTGTTATCAGAGAGAAGTAAGGGAACAGATAGGTACATGACACAGTGATTCTTAAAGCTACTTGTGAAAATTACAGAATTCATTTTCTCTCCTATTTCCTGGGCACATTTCAAATAAGTAAAACATTGGTGTCCTGATCACAAACATTTACTTTTTTCTCCTTTTGTATGCTAATTTCACTCATTCTCCCTCTTTCCCAGGGAGACAACCCTTCACTTGAGCGTGGTTGGAACCTAAAATTTCTTCTAACCAAAACCAGAAAAAACACACAAAGGTGTTGGGATATCACTCTGGTGATTCCGTTTAGTCATATGGCACAGATGAGGAATTTTACAGATGCAATTAACACCCCTAATTAGTTGACTTCAAGTTAATTAAGAAGAAGATTATTCTGGTGAGCCTGACTTTTCAGGTGAGCCATTAAATGAGGCTCTAAAGATCAGGTGCGGGAGAAGCCTGGGGAATGGTCTCTTGCAGGCCATTGAGAAGCCAGAAGCCTCGTGATGACGTTCCGATCAGCCAATGAGTTTTGCAGGGGGTGTGGCCATAGGCTAATTTAGCATGTAAGGACCGTCTTCCTACAAACAGGAGGACGTGCATTCTGCTAATCACCATAGCACTAAGAAGAGGCCTCAAGCTGCTTGTAGGATGCAGGCCTTTGACTGAGCCCTTGATTGGAGCCCTGTGGCATCCTGAGCAGAGGATGGGAGACCCAGACTCCTTACTGGTGGAAACAGAGAAACATAAGTTTCACAGCAGTAGAAAATATTGGTAATGTACCACATTTAGTATATCATGTTAAGAGGCTAAAGTGGTTTTCTAAACCTAATATAAGATTCCGTTTTTATTTGTTTTGAAAAATATTTACGTGGCATGCAGGATCTTTAGTTGTGGTGTGAGAACTCTTGTTTGCAGCTTGCAAAATCTATTAATAGTTCTGGAGCGTGGGATCTAACTCTGCCCTCTGCATTGGGGGTGTGGAGTCTTAGTCACGAGACCACCAGGGAAGTCCCCTAAGGTTCTTTTTTTTTTTTTTAAGATTTCAAATATTTCTTTTTGCCTTAAACTTGTATTCACTTACACTAAATGCTTTCTAAGTTAAGACTCTAAGGTGCCAGAAGCAAGCTGTTTTGTAGATGGCTATAGAGCAATGGAACTCATCTCGGTCATAATTCTCATCACTTCTCTTGAGCCAACTTGTCTGCTGTGGAGAAACAAAGGGAACAGGTGTGTCCAGTCAGAGGGACTGGATTTGCTGACAGTCAGCCCTTCAGGAAAGGAAGCTGGGCAAGGAGCCGGTGGGGTAAAAGACTAAGTGAAGTTTGTTGAGGATGCTGAGAATGATAAGAAAGGGGTAGAAAGGGAAACAAATGGAGAGGAGACAGTAAGCTTCATGGCTGCTTGAGAGACCCTGAATTCATGATGGCGTCTGCTATTTACCCTCTTTGAACCAGCTTGGGAGAGCCTGCCTAGGGGCAGGCCGTGACCCTGCAGTGTCCTTCACATTGAGTCCTGCCCTGGCAAAATGATTCACAGTAACACTCAGCCATTTCAGGACACCCAATAGGCCTGTCTAAAACCTTCTATTTTCTGTCGTGTCTATGGGCTCCATTACAAGTGAGCAGGAAGAGGCTTAAAATCTGTTGGCTACAACAAAAATTAATGGCTGTGCAGGAGGAAAGCATTAATGGTGAAATGGAAAGAAGTGTAAAAGCATTTAGTAATGTATGAATTCACATCACTTCTACTTACATAAAACACATTTAACATTTCAGTTCTGTTCTAAAGGCTCGCATTAGAGCCAGAATACAAAACTTTATGAAATTGCTAAGTGTTTCAGACTAAATGATGAGTAATACTTTGGGACATGGTGAAAGATTTGTTAAACACACCACGGAGCAGTTTAAAGTGTGCGATGATTCAATAAGGTACAGGAGATACGGTGGGAGCCTTAGATTTATTATTTATGGAATCACTCGAGCTGTGGCTATGCAGTGATTTTTCAATGGTAGGTATATATTCTTGACTGCTATGGCTCATGGTTATGGATAGAGGGAAGGTGGAGCTGATTAT